GCGCCGGGGCGCCCGCGGAGGGGCAATCTCGCCCGGGCCGCAGTCTGCCCGCAGACTCTGCTTGTCCTTATCGGCGCCGCGCGGGGCGGGCGCGCGGGCGGCGCCGCCGATTTGGCTCCTGATTTCGGGCGGTCTCTGCCTTGCAGATTAAGTACACGGGCTTCAGGGACCGGCCCCACGAGGAGCGCCAGGCGCGCTTCCAGAACGCCTGCCGCGACGGCCGCTCGGAAATCGTAAGTCGGCGGGGCGGGGGCGCGGGGGACCCCGGGGTTGGGGGGCCCGGGCGCGCGCGGGTCACTTGTTGCGCCCGGGCTGCGGCGGCCCGGGCGGGTTCCGGACGGCGCCGCGGACGCCGTGGCTCCCGGAACTGAGCGGGCGCCGTCTCACTTCCTACTCGGGATTCAAAATGCGAAACCAGACACTGGCGGGCCGCGTCCTCGCGGGGAGACGCTTCCCGGTGGCCCGCTGCGGCTGGATGGTGTTTCCCGTTCACCCTTCCGCAGTTTCCCTCGGCGAGCGGAACCCAATCCCGACCCCAGCTAAACCGGGAAAGGTCGAGGTACCGGCGGTGACACTGATCGAGGGGTTGGGGTGCAGGTGGGAAGGAAACATTCAGGGGTCGGGGTGGGGGAGGAATGAGGCTTCATTCAAGATTCCTGCTCTTGCACGATCGTTTCTTAGACGCTAGAATTTTGCCAAGTACAACTGAGAGTGAATCGGAGAAATTACCCAGGAGTTAGCTATCGTCCTGACAGATGGGGAAAGTCAGTGCCATCATCTTTAGCAGAATCTGAAAGAAACCTTTGCAGCCTTTTTTCAAACCTGATAACCCGGATTAGTGCTGTAGTTTCTGAAGAACTGAATGGAGTTGCAAAACCGACGGGTGAACTGGGGTGTTCACCTCTACCAAATCTTACGTTGGAGGAAAATTATACGTATCCTAGTTCCCCCAATCTCCGTTTTATTTGTCCTGTTGGAGGTGCTGATAAGACCCAAAAGTGGGTAAGAAGAAGAGGTTGATTATTAATTTTTAGAAGTGAAAAATTGAAGTATAATGTAATCCAATTATCTACTTTATGACTTGGACCATTGCTTTTGCAGAGACTTGAGGTGAAGATACAGTTTGAATTGGGGCTAATGAGAAGACACTGGAAAACTCTCATCCCCACATAGAGACCGAATTTCTTTGTATTGAGATATACCACATTCATACCATAAAATTCTCCCTTTTTGTTATCAAATTTATTTTTAAAGAATATGTCGATATATTAAAAAAAAGGCTTTTTTGACTTCCATTACTGATAGAAGTTACTGGCTAAATTTATTAGGGCCGCTGGAATATTTGGTCATTATTGCACATTTTGAAAGAAAATCTCCGCCTTTTAGCACACTTCTAAGTTTGAGTGGTTTAGTACTTTATGATTCAAATGTAAAGGACAAATATGATTTGGTTTGGCACTGAGTGACACAAGAATCATTCACAGAGCCTAATCTTTGCAGGTTTATGCAGTGCTTTCTTTTTTTCATCATAAATGCTTGATTATTTGAATTTATAGATCACTAGATTTAATGTTCAAAATTATCCTATGACTTACAAATAGGCTGTGGACAAGGTATCATTTGGCCTATATTTTGTCAATAGCCTTATATGGCAAACATCTGTACATAATACTGTATATATACACACATTTATAAAACATAGCACCATACATAATGATCCCCAACAGTTTTTTTCCCTTTTTTTTTTTTTTTTTTTGGCCTTTTTTGAATTTTCGTTGTTTTTATTGAAAATTTTTTTTTTTTTTTGGTTGAGGCAAATTAGGGTTGTTGTTGTTCTTTTTTCTTTGGTGTAAAACTTACCCAGACTCTTTTATCATAACCTAAAATAAGTGATTATGGGTAAGGAGTAGAAGAATCTGTTTGGTAAAATCTCATTTATTTCTCATTTAAGTCCTTACCATAGTAGGAGTGTGTGGGAGATGTCTCCAACACTAATGATAAATAAAAGAAAAAATGCTTATGAAAGGTGTGGTGATTATTTGAGCAGTAAAATGTATAATCTTGAAGATGGGAGGATAAAGGTGTGTTGGATTGGCACAAGTGCTATTTTATAATTTATGAAACCTATAAAACATAGTTGGGACATCATAGAAATCTTACATATAATTACACTTTTTATGTTTTTGAACAGAATTTTCCCAACTGTTATGTGTAGCTATTCCATTAAAAGAAAAAAAGTTGTGTGTTCAGACAAGTTTGGGAAACACTATTCTAGAATGATCCTTTTTTTTTTTTTTTAACCATTTCTGTCTCAGAGAAAGGATGTTGATGAGATAATGGGCATAAAGTGATGAAGCAGGAAATCTCTTCTGAGGTTGGCCTTTAGACGGGAGGTGAGGTAATAAAATCTGCAGGCTGTCTTTACTTAGCTGAGAACTGATGTTAGAAGTAGTTCTACCAGCAGTAGAACTGTTGGCAGAAGATTTGTTATTAGTTCAGTGCTGAAGAAAAACAAATATATGTGCTGCATTTTGACAGGGTGTTTCATTCCTGGGCTAAATCTCTATCAGCTACCACTGATCATTTCATTAGGAGGCTGAAAAGTTTGGCTCTCTTATCCAGTTCAAAATTATTTCCCTTATTTACATATACATGCAATGTGTACTTGCTGCTGTTGTGAGCACTTTACAAATACTGAAAACTGAGGTATAGGGTTAAGAAATTTGCCTTAGGTCATACTGCCTAAGCATTTTCTCTCCTGGAGCCTGCTTTTCATTTGAACTATTCTTGGTTCATTTCACTTCACCTGATTGATTTTTAAACTTATGCTAATTGCAGGGAATTTTCTTTAGAAGATTGATTTATGTGTAGAAGAACTGGGGTGTAGGCCAGAGGTGGAGGTGTCACCAGAGACGGTGGGAAGCAGAACAGGGGGCGCGGTGGGGGAGGGTCTACTGAAGTACACTGCTGAGGGGGGCAGGGGACTAGGCGGGATAGGTCTGCTGTGCCATGTGGGTAGCTCCCTGGCAGGGATTGCATACCACCTATGCTGCAGTGGCGGTGGACAGCTCCACAGGACCCTGCTTAACCCTTTGTGCCACCAGGGAGGCCCCCTGGGGAAATTTCTTTTAAGGTTAACATCGATGTTTGTTCAGTCTATTCATACAGAATATTTACCTTGGTATTGTTTAGGGAAATGCCATCTAAGGTGTCTGTTTACAGCAATTTAGAGACTAGGTTGACAATTATATCAACGGTATCAATACTAAAAATAGGAAGTATAATTTTTACCTTTAAAGAATCCAAACTCGTAAGCACCAGGGGACTGGTTGATAGCTGAATCAGCCAGCGGCTTCAAACAGATTGCCCAGTGTGCATACAAGAGCTGGGTGTAGGCCAGAGGTACCCTTGCTTTCAGATGAAGACTCTATAGATGAATACAAATTATGCTTTAGAATTTTAATTAGTAAAATAAAACAAAATTATTTCAACAAAGAGGGTTTATATTTAGATGATGAAAATGTATTAGTCCCCACCCCCCCAAATGCTTTCACTTTTTTCTTTCTTGATTTCTCTTTGGATTAGAGACAGTGTTGCTTTCTTTTTTTTTTTTTTAATCTGAGAGAATTAATAATAGAATTAAATTGCGTTGGGGCTACACAGAAAATGGTTTTAGGTTCTTCTGTTGACCTTGCCATCTAAATCTTTTATAAAAGATAAATACTCCTGTTATCATCAGATCCCACTCTCCTGCTTAAGTCTGATTTTAGAACATTTGTTTTAATCATCCACGGTTTTGAAGAGGTGAGAACTGTCACATCACATGTGAATGTATAGTTTATCAGAGGAAAACAGTTCCAAGTGCATTTTTACTATGAACTTTAAGAGCATAATATTTTCTTCAGCAAAGCAAATCAGGAAAAATTAAAACTGTTTCATTTATACAACTTAAACTGTGCTGTGTTTTAAATTTAATATTTGCCGAACTTCAGTGATTTCCCCATTTAAAGTACAAGTTTTTTAATTCAGGGGTGGTGGCTTCTAGTTAGATGTTAGCAATGCGCGATCTTAACGTCAGCAAAAAATGACCTGAAAGAAAGTATTGATTCCATGTCTGATTTTATATTTAAGCAGCCAATGGCAAATGTCCTCAAAATGGAATCAGATGTTTGTAACTTAATACTTAAGAAAAATGATGAGTGCATGTTTTTTACTTTTAAATATTCTCCATGCTGCCTGGCTTAAGACAGAAACTGATGTAAAAATAAATGACTGCCTGCATAATTTATGTAATGTCCTGCTCCTGATCCTGTTTGTATTGATTTTTCTAAAAGGCTTTTGTGGCCACAGGAACCAATCTGTCTCTCCAGTTTTTTCCGGCCAGCTGGCAGGGAGAACAGCGACAAACACCTAGCCGGGAATATGTCGACTTAGAAAGAGAAGCAGGCAAGGTAGGAAGCATTTCTTTGCAATTTGAAATACTGTACGTTGTTTTATTGTGGATTATCTGATTTACATAAAGAGCACAAGTCAGTCTGGTAAAGGAGGTCACAGGTCTGACTATATAGGTAGGTGTATGATTAGATTTGTTTGCATTCCATAATAGATAAAATGGTCGCACAATTAAAAAAAATCACTCAAGTTTTTGTATCGTTCCATTACTAATACAAGGTATGTAATATTTACTATGGAAAGTTCTAGTCCTTTAGAGAGTGTACTTTTCTTACATGTAACCTTCAAAACTTAATTCCTTTAAAAGTGTTGACAAAAATTTTATTTTTTCTTTACTAAAATGTGTGTGACTACAGTGCTGTTAAATGAAATTAAGAGAAGAATGAGAAAAGTCTCTGTGGGCTTAAAATTTAATAAGATTTAGAAACAGTTCATTGGTAACTTTCTGCTCCTATTAATGCAGCAAATTTAATTTTGAGAAAGACAATGCGAAAACTTTTAACGAGAATTTTTTTGCTTTGAGGAAAAGTTTCTGGGAAAACATATGCATTAAAATTTCATGTTGGAAGTTTAGATTGAAGATGTGAAAAATGTAGATGGAAATGTTTAAATTTGGATCCTTATAACAATCTGAGTTATATGTTTTATATAACTTTGGTAAAATTTTAATGAATAATGTATTGGATTGGTTTATATTTCAGTGTATAAGTTCACTTCTTGAAGATTTATTTAGAGATATTTTTTTGCCTTGTATTGACTATCTCTCCAGTATTCTAGATTTTATTATTTGGTAGTTCTTATATGTAAAGGAGAATTTGGGAAATCATCACAGGATTATTGCTTTTTTTGTTTAGTGCATGAATATGTGACTAAATGAAGAAAAATTTTTTTCCTTGTTCAGAACCTTTTGCTAAAGTTTATTTAACATGGTAGCTCAGATACTAAAGACAAACTAAAAAGTTCCTTTCCTCTCAGGTTTTTGTTGCTAAGCTGTCTTAAACTGTCACAATTGATATCTCCGTGGTACTGGGATCTTCCAGTATTTAATAACTAATAAGTAGATATTGTTTGCTTGAATTAATTTAATGGTATTTGTTTGCCGGATTGAAGAGCACATGATCCTTGACTTAAGCCAGATACTTTCAGTTATATGATCAACATAATAACAATGTTGACTGACATATTGTAGAATTTAGAGGATTATGTATTTAGGAAAAGTGAGTTATCAGGGAACTTATATTTATTAATAAGTTTTTTCTGTAAAGATTCAGGTAGTAAATACTTTCAATTTTGCAGTCATGATCTGATTTAACTTCAGCTTTGCTGTTAGAGTGAAATAAATCATAAGCAACATATATGTGCAGTTGACTGTGGCTGTGTTCTAAAAATAGCAGAAATCAGTATCTTTCCCTCAGATTTAAATCTGTGTTTATATGTAGATCCTGTATTTCTCAAATACAGCTCTGTCAATACCTGTACTACATTGGTAGGATGTAGAAGAAAAGAACACTTTTAAGCTCTCCCCCCCAAAAAAACTAGTATATTGTTTTATATCACTGAGCTAAATAAAGTACATCAGTGCATTTAGAGAGAAGGTAATGACTTAGGTTTTCTCAATCATTGAACTTAAGCTGCAGGCTCTTTGCTTTTTCTTCCTCATTTTTTTATGTATGTGTTTCTGATAACTGGTTGCTTTTATGTCCCCAGAGGACTACAACAAGGAGCAAAGAAAATTATAGGAATTTCCTCAGATGTTAACTATCTACTTCCACTCTTTGTATTGATCCCAAATCAGTGCCTTTTTCACATACTCTTAAGCTAGGTACTTAGCTTCTAAAATATCTTAGTACTCTTTCCATTCATACCCAATTTGGAGAAAACTAGTGATTAAGACTTTGGAGTTAGGATTAATTGAATCGAGTACTGGGTTCACATACTACTACTTTTATAACTGTGTAACTTAGGACACTTTATTTAACCTTTAGTTGTAACCTTTAGTTTAGTCCTCAGTTGTAAAAATGAGATAATGCATAGCTCCCAGTTAAATACATGACAGAGTTATTTAAAAATTAATATCTTCAGAAGATATTTGTTGAATATCTACTATGTATACCACGCAGTGTATTGGACACTTGAGCCATCTCCATGAACAAAACAAAGATCCTGCCATAGAGAGAGATACTTTTGTGGAGGAATTTCAGAAATAAACAATATAGATAATAAGTTATGTTACAAAATAATAAGAACGCTGAAAAAAAAAGGGAAAAGTAGAGTAAAATAAAGCTGATCAATGAACAAGTTTTTTGCAGTTTTAAACAGAGTGGTTTAAAAGAAAGTCATTCTTGGGTTAAGACCTAAGGAAAGTTAGGTATTGGGGGGGTAGGGGGATGGAGGATGTTCCAAACAGAGGCGACATGGACTTAATCTGAGTAAAATGGAAAGGTTTGGGTTTTGAGCAGATGAATAATATCACCCTTAGGTGTTGGGTTAACCTTAGTTTTAAAGGACTGTAATGAAGCAGGAAGACCAATTTGGCTTTTGGGTAATTTTGGTGAGAGATTAAAGTAGTGGAGATGGTGAGTAGTAGTCATAATTTGAGTGTATATTGAGGGAGATTCAATAAGATTTGCTTAGGGGTTGGATGTGGGCTGCGAGAGTGAAGAATGTCGCCAACATTTTTAGCCAGAGCAACTGGAAGTATGGGATTGCTGTCATATGAGATGGGGAAAGCTGTGGGTGGAGCAATTTAAGACATGTGAGTATGTGGTGGTAGCTTGTTATTACAGCTTCTGTTTTCTCAATACCCACCCTTCTTAAGTTATGGCACCACTTTTCCATAAATAATCCTTCCTTAAGTTTGCTTATCTTACAGAGTTCATTGGCATTTTCCAAAAGAGCTCAGCTTTATTAAAGTATAGTTTACCTACAATAAAATGTACCCATTTTTAGTAAATGTACGTACCCATGTAAACATCACCCACAACGCAGGCATCCCCACACATTTCCCCATGCCCTTCTACAGAATCTGTCAATCTGACTTGGTTTAGATGGTCGTAGAGCAGGGTCTCCCAGAGATGGCAGTCAGACTGTTGGGAGGGCTGTGCAATCTCTGAAGACCTGACAGAAACTGAAGGATCCCTTCTCAAGCTCACTTCATTGGTGACTTCAGTTCCTAGTTATGTATTTTCTTCCTAGAGAAGAGTACAGCCACCCTCCTTTTTATGACCTATTCTAGGATCGCATGTGTCTTCGTCTATTCATTAGAGGAGTCACTGAGTCTAGCCCACACTCAGTGCGGAGGGGAGATTTATTTATGCATAAGTATGTGAGTACCAGGAGCCTAGGGTCATTGAGGCCATTTTGGAGACTGGCTACCACAATAGTCACTTAACATTAGTGAATTCAAAAAAAAATTAGAATGCTAATAAAAAACATGAGCTCCATAAATCTCTTCAACTTGAAATATGGCTTTTTGATGTAAGAAAATGGGTTCAGGGAAATTGCCTTTTATTCATTCTCTCTGCCTTTGTGTTTATAGGAATATTTTCAAGCCAAGGGTCTTTAAGAAAGGTCTGTCAAGGGATAAGTGATAGGTACTTTAAGGTCAAGTCAGAGGACTTTTAAAATTTGTCTTTCAAATACATTTCAAACTTTTGGACTCAGATTTCTAGTGAGTTGTCTACATTGACATTTAATAAGGGTTTTTCTCAGGAAAAAAAAGTTTAAACAATACAGTGTTGTGGAAAGGGCTGCAATCCAAAGGTGATCATGACTTTTTCCTACCTGTAAGTGGCAGTCAGAATGTCAGCCATATTTATATGCCTCAGGGGAGGATTAAACTAGATACCATAGTATGTAGGAAATATTTTTTTTTTAATAATATAACAGTTTGGAAATATTTTTTAAATTGTAAGGCCCTATCCAAAATTAGCTGGTTTGATGGTTTTCTATGGTGAGAGTATAGATAACTCCATCATCAGGTTATGTGCTCTAGGGTGCCCTAGGTCAGCTTCATTTCAGGTAGCTGTACAGTGATGCGGAACACCACATCTTTCCCCAGCACTCATCCTGGCACAGTAGAAACCCTGACATCCCAGATGTTTTTAATTCTTCCTTCATTTAAATTGGTTTCCTCGAATTTAGCTGTCAGAAGACAAGGAAAGCAACTGGTCAGAATTTAAATTGTTCTTGCCTTAAATTTTGTAGACCAAATAATTCCAGTTCCTTTGATCTTTCCTCTTAGAATCTATTTTCAATTACTTTTATTTCAAGCAAATGCAAATGATTATGGTTCATCATAACATTAGTCTTGATTAGTCAGATTAATGTTTTTGCCTGCATCCTGCATGTCATAGAACCTTATTAGGACTTTGAATTAATGATTATAGATGCTTGCTACAAGAGCCAAGTTTGTGGGTATAAAGAAAAAGGGTGTGAAAAATATTTTATGAACTAAAGAATGAACTTTACAACGCTACTGTTTGTTTATGATTATTTATCAGTACTTTACTACATGAGATAAGTAATAGAATATACTATCTAATTTGATTACATTGGCCCCAGAAAAAGGGAAATCTTTGTTTACAGTAGTTGATTTCTACTTATAAAATTTATGATTTTAAATTGATAGTCAAAATATTTGTAGTCAATATTGAAAAGTAGTTATAAAATAAATCATTAGAATAAGTAATTTTGAAAGTTACCGGTAAGTTCCATGCAATTTTTCTTCCTGAACTTTTCCTTAAACAAAAGTTTTTATTATTTTCATAGCATAACATAGAAAAGCAAAATTTAATAGCATTTGAGTTAATGAGTGAGGACAGACTGTTTTAAATGGCTTCTCTGCAGTTCTAGGACTTTGTTTCTTCTGGAGCATTTTGCTTACTTGCCTGCAGAATCTTTGTCCCAAAATAAATATTATGTCTGTTTATATACTATCCACAACTTGGCAGGGTATAGAGGACTCTGTGATGTTAGCTTTGAGAAATCCCTATTCAAG